AGTAAGTAACTCCACTGCACAGGCTCTGTCCGTTTGCTTCTGCATGCCAATTGTGTTCCTTTTCCCTTCTCATCCACTTGCATAACCCGAAGCACGAACCATGAAGCTGTAGTAACACCCATTCACGTACCGTACTTTACATAAGCATCAAACATTAGCTGCAGCCATTACGTTGAAGCCTAGTTTTTATAGCGTGAATATGACAGTTTGTTTAATAATAATCCACCTAGGACTCCCCATGTTCTGTACGTTCCAAACGGTGTTCCCAGTAATCCACACTTAATGTACACATAAATTAGAAGTACAGTCTCAGGATTTTTCCAGAAATAGCATTGTTTAAAAAAAATTCCAAAAATAGCACCCAACTCCGAAAAATTCAAAACATAGCATCCTTTCTAAAAAACCGCCACCTATACCAGTGGTTTTGCAAACAGCATGGGGTCGTGGCGGTTTGTTTGCAGACCGCACCCCCACCATGCGGTCTGTTTTTTTTTTTTTTTTAAATCCTAACCTAGGTGGAAACTTTAAACGAACGTATCTTTGTGTTCGGGTATCCGATCGTCGCGATTTTTTTTTATTCCGCATAACTTTTCGAGATCTTGCAAGTTGATGACTGCAGAAGGTGGTTTGGTCCCGCCTTCGTCCCAAAAAAATGTCGTTTGCTACCCCGAACGAGCTTTTTTCCTATTTCGTCAAACTTTGGACAACCATAACTTTGTGTTCCAAAATCCAAACGACATGAATTTTTTTTTATTTCGCATAAATTTTTAAGGAGTAAAACTTTTATCATAGACATAATTTCAAAATGTACGTGGATTGCTGAAAAGAGAAGGTAAGCTATTCCCAAAATCCTGTATATCCAAAAATAATTCCTGTTTTGAAACTTCATTCCTAGTAAAAATTGTAGTCCTTAAAAAGTTATGCGAAATGAAAAAAATTCATGAAGTTCGGATTTTGGAGCTCAATAACTTTAAACAACGATAACTTTGTGCTCCAAAATCCGAACGTACATTTCGAAAATATTGCGCCCGCTTTTTGGATATACAGGATTTTGAGAATAGCTTACCTTCCCTTTTCAGCAATCCACGTACATTTCGAAAATATGTCAATGATAAAAGTTGTATTCCTTAAAAATTTATGCGAAATAAAAAAAAAATTCATGTTGTTTGGATTTTGGAGTACAAAGTTATGGTTGTCCAAAGTTTGACGAAATCAAAAAAAGCTCGTTTGGGGTAGCAAACGACATTTTTTGGGATGAGGTGGGACCAAACCACCTTCGGCAGTCTTCGGCTTGCAAGATCTCAAAACTTTATGTGGAATAAAAAAAATCGCGACGATCGGATACCCGAACACAAAGATACCTTCGTTTGAAGTTTCCACCTAGGGTAGGATTTTTCAAAAAAAAAAAAAAAAGACCGCATGGTGTGGGTGCGGTCTGCAAACAAACCCATGGTGGGGGTGCGGTTTGCAACCAAAGCGCCACGACCCCATGCGGTTTGCAAAACCGCCCATTCCAGTGCGGTTTTCATCGAAAAACGCGCCCCTCGGGTGGCGGTTTTCGTCTAAACCGCTGGTACGGGTGGTGGTTTTTGGGAAAGGGTGCTATTTTTTGAATTTTTCGGAGTTGGGTGCTATTTTTTGGAAATTTTTTTAAACAGTGCTATTTCTGGAAAAATCCCTACAATCTCGTCTATCCCTACGGGCCGGGTTGTATAAACTAGAAGCACAGCCACATGGCGTCACCTCCCTCCTTAGGGACGACATCAACGGAGCTACATTTCCCAGAGATGTAATCCTATCTGATTCCTCCACCTCTCTCTAATACCCCCTCCCCTGTGTAATAACTCCATTCATGCATCTGACGTGGGGAGTTGGAGTTTTAATTAGGAGGGGCATGGTGAGTTGGCGATGGTGTCGGTGCTCCCTCCATATCCCGAATCCTTCTCCTTCTTCCATAAATCGACAACCAATCTTCTCCCATCCGCCCATAGAAGTAACCATCAAGTCATCCATCTCACTCTCTGTACTTCCTACCACTACTAACCCTCCAGACCAACACTTGTTCCCATCATCATCAAGCTCACTCCCTCCTTCCGTCCGCCAACCTCTAGCTCATCGTCGCCGTCATCGTCATCACCGAAGAAGGAAGGTGCGACCCATAGCTACCGACTTCATATCTCCCATTCTCTCTCGACCAGTAGGTAAGCAAAATGAATCCCCTCGCCATTCAAGCTTCAAGGCTACATAACTAACAAACAAATGGTCTTTCTACGGCGTAGCTTCGGCGGCGAAAGAGCGGGGTGACCAAACGACGATCCAAACAAGGAACTGAGGTCCTAAGGCTTCCTACCTAGGACTAGACTCGTATTAAAGGTAAGGAAGCTCAATCCCTCTCGCTAAAGGCGCCATTTATGCGAGTTATGCGACTTTGTAGAAATCTGGGAATTTAGCGACGGAATTCCAGGTCTTTAGCAACGGTTATGTGGTCGTCGCTAAAGGCCAATCTGTGAGTAGAACTACCAGACCTTTTGAGACGGATAGCAGGGGTATTTCGTGACAGACTCAATACCCGTCACTAAAAGAGATGCAACTTTGACGTACTAATTTTTCTAAGTTAATAAGTGTTAATTATGTCATTCAAATGGGATTAATTTATAATTGGTTTAATAGGTACCCTATTCGTGTGTATGGATTAGGGTGTTAATAACTTAGTGGTTAATAAAACGATTTAGTGGGATTAGTTTAGTATTTGATTCATGATGTGATGGATGATGTTGTTATAAGGGACTTTCAAGCAAGTTAATAGGTAAAGACCATTTAACCTATGAGTTTGCAAATATTCGTTTCAACGGGTAGAATATTATGATGAGTTAATTAGAGGATAATATGATAATTAATTGGGTAAGAGAGTTATTCTAATCTAAGTAGTTGATGAGTAAGTTTATCAATTTTTACCCATGAGAATAATATTAGAGATTAATCTATTGGTTAATAAGCTAAGTTAATTGATCGACTAATTTGTAGGAACGCAAGTTGAATTAAGAGACCCAATTATCATTAATTAATTTGATATTGTTCTAGCAAGCCGGTATACTTTGTACACATTGCAAAGTAGTTCTAAATTGAGAAAGACATCGCTAAGAACTCGAAACCAAACCGATCTAACTTCGGTTTTCACCATAGGATCAAGAGGTGAATCACCCAAGCAAAGGGCACCAATCTTCAAGTTGTAAGCGTCTTGAGTTAATAAGGTGCGTGGTTTGAGGGGGCTAGTTAGTATTTCGCTTTAATATATCTAATTATGCCATTTAATTAAATTATGCTCTATATGTATGTTCAAGGTATGTTTACTTATGTTCAGTAAGCATGGCATTGCATTCCATCATGAAATTACATTTTGAATAAGAAAATACAAGATTATGTTTCAAGCAAGTTTATGGACTTGCTTTCCAAGTTACCAAGTTATTAAGTAAGAATACGTTTTTAACTACTCGCTTGACTAGCAACACGCGGCTACCTTACTTCCCGCTAGGTGGAAGTTTATGATTATGATAAGTTATGCCGGTGCCGGTCAGTTGCTTAGATAGCACGCGGTTACCTTACTTCCCACTAGGTGGAAGTCTATGATTAAGATGTGTCTTCCCATTAGGTGGAAGCTCACATATATGTATGTTACGATCGGTGCCGGTCGGTGTGCTAGTTGAGTCGAGTCCGGGGCCCCCTTTTATATGAAACAATATGAATAATGTATTATGCACTGCACGAGCATATTTATTATTTATCGAGTATTTTATTACTAGTTTTTCCGCCATTAAAGCGAAACTAGGATTAGGACTGACCCCAACGCACGCACTCAGGAGCTGCAGGGAATCAAGAGTATCCACTGCTGCCCAAAATGTCATCACAAGGGTTAGTGACCGGGGAAGCTTCCAGCGGAACTTAGTTAAGTTTATGCATTGTTGGTGGACTTGAGACTTAATGAGGATTATGTTTGAATACTGTTTTAAGATGTATTTTCTTCTTGTATTTTGGAATGATGTTAATGTGACTTTATGCATTTACCATTCAACTAATATTAAGGGTATTTTGGTAAAAGTAGTGGACGGCCGGTCTAGGGTGTTACACCCTGTGTCTTCTTCTTTGGCCTTGTGCCTCCTCTGAATGCAAAAAAAAAAAAAAATGATACAGGTGTGAATCTTGTTCATCTCTCAATCAATCCACGTAACCCATCTCCCAACCTTGGATTTAGTACTCCATTAGGCCAATTCATCCCATTTGAGAACAAACCAATGAACCCACATTTTGTGACACCTGACCTGACCCATTTAGGTCGTAATTAATTTCCGCAAAAGTGCTCTCGGCTCCCCTTTATACACTACAAAAAAGGGAGCTATGCCAAGGGTTCTGTACCAAGGGTTTAGTAAACCGCTGCTAATTTTATTCCGGACTCACCGTTTCACGGGTTTGTTCAGGGGTTTTAAAACCCCTGCTATTGAGTTAACTACTAAAATTTGAATCTATCGCGAAAACTCTTTGACACAACAACCCGTCTCTTCTTCTTCCCAACCCCTATTTTCACAAATGCTTTTCGCCATCTCCCCTCCATAACAAAATCCCCAATTTTCAGCTCCTATGCCCGAGAAATGAAAACGAACGCTGATCTCTCTCTCCCTCCGATTGAATCAGTGGCGATTCTCCAGTCTCTCTCTCTCTCTCTCTCGATCAGGCGTAAAACGGTCGAAATTCTCTGATTCTCCTATTCTATGATAAGGTTCTATCTCTTTCTCACTCTCTTGCGCGCTCTCAGTCTCTCTCTCATGCGCGCGTGAGCTCTCTCTCTCTGGCGGCCAAGTTGGAGATGGCATTGCTCGAGTTGTGTAAATTCGGATAGTAAGGTTTTGAAGAATTGAGTGTTTGTGGATAGAGTGTTTCTGAATTAGGTCAAGTGTGAATTACTTCAGGCCTGCTCGTCTCCTTATTTTATCAAGTCTGGATAGCAGATGCTTGGCAGCTACCGCAGCAGTAGCAGTAGTGACATTGAAGGAGGAGGGAGCAGAGGATCCGGCTCGGGTTATAGATCGCGGATCGCGACTCTGTTGTTCTCGATGCTGAGGAGGAACAAGAACCTTAGGTATCTCGTTATACTGCATCCTCGTTGCTGGCACTTCTCGATTATCCCCGTTCTCCCTTCCTAGTTGAAGCTGTTGGTACCATCTTTGTTGTTAGCTTTTTGAAAGCGATAGGCTCCGAATAGAGGATTGTCTTTACTAGTAGTGTAGTTACTAGCACGGTTAGCCATTATAGATAGTTTTTTCCTTTTTTTTAATAAATGGCAATTTACCATCGACTTCTAATTAGCTATTGCTTGTATACAACGTGATCGAAATAGCAGGACCGAAGAGGAACAGGAATAGTTGCAGACTGAGATGAGTTAATTAGCTTTATTGCTTCCAGTTTCTCATATTGGGTAGGATTGAGATGCTCTATCGCTGCCTCCAGTAGAAAGCAATGAACCCCATTCTCTCATATTGGGAAGAAGAAGTAGATACTATAGCTTTCAGGTTAAGCTCCCTTCCGAACCTCATTCTCTACAGCATTCTATGTTAAATAATTTCTTGATTTGTTCCCTGAATTCTGCTGTTCCATTCAGGTTTGAAGAAGCAAAAGATATTAGAGGAAGAGTTTGCGAATGTCCAGCTGTGGATGATATTCAAATGAAGATGTAATAACTTTGAAAGGAGAGTTAAGTGAGATGAAGAATCAAATGGAGGCCGTGGCGAGGTTCGTCAGTAAGAAGTTTCTTGAGCAAAATTGGATAGAAGATGTTGAAAATAATCCAGTAATGTCTCTCTTATCTTTTTGTCCTGTTTGAACTTGCACTAGTAAGAGTATTGAATTGGGAATGAATATAATTGATGTTTGGAACTGAAGACATAGGACTGTGTTTTTTTAAAGCTGGGGTAGATTCTAGAATAATTTTTCTAGAAAGCTGGGGTAATTATGAATGGATCAAAAAGCATGATCAAGTTGTAGTAGGCATTATTGGAGTGTTTGGTGTCACCTGCAAAGTGTTTTGCTGCTAGCATTGGTATTGCTAGGGGTGTGTAGTGACTAAACCTATTCTTATGCACACAGTGATGTTTGCAGTTGCTTGGAGGCACCTTTTCATGTGTTGCCTCTGTTGGAGTTTAATATGGATGGCAACAACTCATCCTTCGTGTTCTCGGATGAGATCTTAAAAGCAACAAGTACTTGAAGCTGCAATAGCAGATCTATGAGGTTTTCAATTCCAACGGCTGTTCTGAAGCCTCGTCATGCCTTTTTTTTAACCTTGTCGCAGCAGCAGATCTCTAAGGTTTTTAGAAGTTAATATTTCTGCTTTATTTATTGCTAGAACCAATTGTGGATTGTCACTTAGAAGCAACAAGTGCTAGAAACTGTAGAGATGCAGCAGCAGATCTTTAAGATTTTCGATTCCAGTGGCTCTTTTGAATCCTCAATGTTGCATCAAGTTGGGATGAAGTTCAAACATGAAGGAGATGAAGAAATTATTACTTTTTTATGGTTAAGCTAATAAAACTTCATCACTAGACCATACTTTTCCGGATTATGTTGGAATATTCATGGTAATTAGCATTTAGCCATGTAATTAGTATTTTCTTGGATCATGAATTATGATATGAATGATGGAATATTAATGGGAATAGTGTATGGTATTGATTTGGCTACTATTGAGTTTCAGGTTCTGGGTTTGTTTATAGTGACCAGATTATTTGCAACCAAGTTATAGCCATTAGTCATGGTTGTTCACTTTAGCGATCGTTTTGAGATCCTTTAGCGACAGTTTGAGTTCGTTGCAATTGATTTAGCCACGAATAAAGTAGGGGTTTTAACCCTTGGCAGTTTAAGTAACAAATTTACCAAGGATTTTAACGCTCGCTATGAACATCTCATGGCTGGAGTTTACACCGACACGTAGCAGGGGTTTTAAGCCTTGAATCATGTAGCAGGGGTTGAAACCCCCTACTAAAACCCTTGGATGGGACTTTCACTGTGGGTTGCTCAAAACCCTTGCTACATGTAGCAGCGGAAGCATTGGCGAGGGTTCGTGCAGGGGTTATCAAAACCCTTGCTACAGATTGAAAAAACCCTTGCGATAGAATTTTTATGTAGTGATATTCCATTGATGTGCATCAACTAGCTTAGTCCATACGATCATCATCATCATTATCGAATTTAAAGGAAGAGATCCTCACCTCATTGCGATGTCTGATGCGTTACGACTTACAACGATCCGTCGTCAGTCCCCATGTCGCCACAAAGGACGTTGACAATCCCGCTTTGCTTCCGTTGTCCTCTCTGCCTCTGCTCTCCTTGCTTTATATCAACGTTTTTCGGTGACCGTGACTAGCTCCAGCCAACTACGTGTGTCCTCGTTCAAGCTTGTCGAGCCCAGCCGCCAACCTCAAACGGCCAATCTTAGGATGACGTTTAGCGGCTGTTCTTGCCCACTTGGGTTAAAAGAATCGCTTAGGTTTTAGATTTATGCCTTTTATAAAGAGGAGTGACCGAGAGACAAAAGGGAGCTCGACTGGGATAGCTCCTCATGCTACCCTTGCGTTTAGATTAGGGTTTGCTTGGGAGAAGGTACCGTTTGCCCTCACTTCAATTGGTGTTAATTTGGCTAAATTCATCTAACGACACACCGCATGTCCTTGTTGCCGAGCGGATTCCGAGTCATTCCTGCATGTGTTGCGGGACTGCAGCTTGTTTATTATGTTGTTTGTGGTATGTTTGGCACGTACTAGCATGGTTGTAATGCTCGTTGTAAGATAAGGAATAATTGACTGAAGCGTACCTTCATCTTATCATCATTATCATTGTTGGTGGAAATATAGTTTTCCAGCTGCTATCCTCCTTCTGTTGGACTGTTACATTATCCGAAGATGTTACGATTTGTAGCAGTTGTTGAGCATCTACTAAACCAACAGAAACTTCATCCACGAGATAAAAACCAGATTAATAGCTCTAAACAAGCCAGCTCTTGCCAGTAATTTGTCCTTTATGGTTTAAACAAATAACCGCAGGCCAAATGGCATTTGCATCCACGGATCCACCCATATCGTCCACCGAATTCTTGAACCAAATAAGCGCCCCTCTTTCTAGTTACAGCGGTCGATCTTTTATCCGACAAGAACGAAACAGAATGTTATGTGATGTGGATGGAACCTGAAAGGGACTAACAAACTGCTGTTCACTCCGATAAAAGCTGTTTGTATTCCTCCAGCAGCTTTGAAATATCATCCATTCGCAACTGAAATTAAGAGCAGATCACATGAACCAATGACTTGAAGAAAAAACTAAGTAGATATGAATCATTTTTGCGTTTTCTAGTGACAGAAAGAGTAGGAATCTTGGTTCCTGTTGAATTAGAAAGCAATTCAAAGAAAGTTTCACAGATCTTCAATTTTCTGGATCCCATTGACATGAATGGATGGCACAGGGAATCATATCACTGCATGACATTCATACCTGTGAAGCATTTCGAAAGTGATAGAACCGAAAAACATCTTTATCGAGAATACCAGCCTCAATTGACTGCAAATCAGCATTACTGTCACAAATGCAAAAACAGGTCTGAGATCAATAAATCAAATGTACAAGCAAGATAGATGCACCAACATAACCTTGAAACTGGGTCCGTTAATTTAAAATAGGGTACACACTTTTACTGCTTTTGCGCAGATCAACAACAATTATCATTCTCACTCACCTACAGCGCCGAGCAATCATTCGTTGGTAGTCACGAAGCAAGGGTCCAATCTCCTTCAGTGCTATTGATCCAGGTGAAGCTGTCCTCCAATGATCACGAACTAACCTAATTCCCTATTTTTCATTTGCCGGAGAGATTGTTACGACCAGAACTTTGATATCACAAAAAATAAATTATAAAACGCAAAAAAAAACTTGGATGACCAGTGAACCTGCTCATTAGTAGAACTCGGCACAAGTTCAAGTAATTCTCTATCTTCCTGCTCATCTACGATTTCCAGACCTGATGCAGGAAGCGCAACTGATACTTCCAGCCTCTTCTGCAATTCTAACACAGCAGATCCCACCCTTTGATTTTCCTGTCATTAAGAAGCAAGGATAACAATATCATGTTGCAATCAAATATCGGAACAGCTATCAACAATGAAAAGAAAATGAAAAATAACCACTGTAAAGCAAAGCAGTCAATGTATGCCATCACTATCAGAAGATTCTGAGCTTTGAAAAATGGGTGATTCACATATGGACCTCATGCATATTACCATCAAGGCCAAGGAGCTAAGAAATAGAAGTTATCTTCGGACTTCTTAGCCCAAAAAAATAAAAAATACAAGAGGTTATCTTTGGTAGTTGAAGTTGTGACATTGAATGTCTTTTTACTGGATCACTGTGTTCTGAAAACATCATGATAAACAACAATATGTCCCATATCGAGTAAAATCATACATTATTGACAGGGCACTAGACATAAACAGCTTAATGATATCTGCATTATTCTTAAGAAGGTGGGAAACAGCGTCCATTTTACATATAATGTTTAATTCTACCAAATCTGAACCTAACAAGAACCAATGCACCAAGCTTCTGGATCATATTGTCAGACAGTTGCATGATATCAATAAGGATTTCAATATAAACTTCGCAGAATACCTCTAGTAATGGTTGTTTAGTCATACTGGCATCAAAAGTTTCCTGCACATTTTTTCTTGGAGTTGCAACCAGCCTCCTGGTTATAGGATCCCCTGAGGATGAGATAACACTTTAGTACTTCACAATGTGAGAGATGAATGACGAACCTAAGAAGGGAATTCCATGGAAATGAAAACTTTAATTTTCTAGATTTAAAACTTGTCGTCAAAAAAAAAAAAGGCAATCAATCAGAATAAAGAAAAAAAATGGAAATAGTAAATCAAGATAAACAACAACAGGAATAGTCACAATAACGTACCAAATGCTGCCAATATACTAGTGTTGTTTATCACCCATTGTTAGTACCAAACTTAACACCCACTGTTTTACATATCTGCCATTAATTTGGGTGAAATTATCTTACATGATCTAGTTGACCAGGTGAGTTTGCAACATTGAATTCTGCATAAGTGCTAAGAGTAACTTGACAACATTTTGTATTCGTACCTTCTGGCACCAACCACCATATATCACCAAATGTCGACTTCCCATCAAAGCCACCAAACAACAGATAACGTGGCCCAGCACACATCATTGTGTGGTATGCTCGAGCAGGAGGAGGGTCACTGCCAATAGGCAATCGTTTCCACTGTGCAGAAACTACAAGTAAAAAGGATTGGTAAATCAACAGCCACAAGGTCAAGTAGGATATGGAAGAAGCAATTTCTGTTACCAGTGATTCTGAAAATCTGCAAAGTTTAGAAGGATGCAGATCGCAAAATATGAAAATAAAGCAGGCAATGGTCACCAAAAAAAGAGCAAGCAACATGAGATTTGTTTGGAACTTTTGATTGACAGTGTGTATGTCACATGAATTTAAATTTTCAAATAAGAGGATGGTATAAATTTGTTGACTGTAATAATACATTGTTTCAATCTTTGTGATCACAAAATGAAATTTTCACATTTTGGAGATCAATGATCAGTAATTGGAGTAAAAAAGAGATTTAAATTGGAGTTATGGAAGAGCAGAAAGGAAAAATAAGGAAATAGAATACAATATGCAAAATGAAGCATTAGAATCTCAGTTAATCCTACTTGAAAAGCATTTGAATCTCAGTTTAACCTGGTGCAGTAGGTTAAAGCTGAGACCGTCTCTGCAGGAGGCTGAAAAGGTTTCGGATGTTTAGGAAGAAGAAGAAGACCATCTGAGGGCATTACCACGGAAGAGGTGGCAGCTGATGAAAAAGATGCAGCGTCCATTCCAGACTGTAGTTTGCAGGTTGTAATAGAATTTGGCTCCACAAGAGAGTGAACTTGTTTCGCTCTTTGCCAATGACAAATCCTTCTCAGTTTCTGCTGCAACCCATCCAGAAATGCAAATGGCTTCTATCATAGCAGATGATAATATCACCACTACCAACGGGAGTATTACTCAAAATGGAATTGGTCAAGTTTCAGGTGAAAGTATGAATAGTGACCAAAAGGTGGAGCCTGAGCTTCCTTGGAGCGATGATAATGTTGAAGATGATGATAAACGTGTTGATACTGTGGAAGGAATATTGGAACATGAAGAGCGGAGTTGGCTGTACTTGTACCGGGCTTATTATATACAGCCCAGGAGTTCCTAAGTGAGGAAGAAGCAAGGTTGAGTGTATGGCGTGACCCAATCACAACTAGTACGGCCGCAATAGTAGCAGTTGCTATGGACACGACCTTTTGAAGATTCCAGTGACGTTAATGATGGAGTGCATGAGGAAGAGCGATTCTCAGTTCATTATTTTGTGGATTAAAAAGAAGGATGAAGACTTGTCTGCCCATTGTTTCGGTTGTGAATGTAACGACACTGGAGAAGAATCGCTCGAGGCTAGAGCTATCAGTGCTAGAAGTCCGACTCAAGTGCCGGAGCACCATTGGAAACGGAGGAAGCGGAAGCACCTGCGGGGCCCACGGCGAGATATCGCGTCGAAAGTATGGAAAGCCAGCAACATTGGCTACAGCCTTGAGAGCAAAGTTGGTCTCAAGGGCGTATGATGGAAAATCATGTTTTTCTCATTGTTATTATATCAATTAGTAGGATACCTATTATTAAGGGTAGTAGCCGTGTAGTATTAGGTTTTCAGGTCATTTTCTATATATAATGACATAATGTACGTTGCACATTTCGTGAGAATTATCACATAAGTTAATATGAAAAGTATCCCCAACCTCGACGCTCTTAATCTCGTCCCTCTCACCCTAAAGGCCGCCGGCCATTCTTCTCTTTTCGGTCCCCAATTTCATCTTCCAAGTCCCTCATCCCCAATTCTCATTCCAATCTCCAATTATACTCTTCCTATCCCAATCCCGAATTCGATATCTAAATCCCTACTCAATCCAATTATCAATTATCTAAGCCTATCAAGAATGCTCTAGATCCGATTTCCATCACATATGTACTCAAGAAAGCCATGACACCCCTAGTAACCTTGTATTATAACTTCTAATTAGCATTTAGAAAGAACATACCCCTGTCCAAGATAATGCAGTCGTTGTAATAGATATCATATCGACTCAACCAACCACCAGTTCCGTGTCCTCCAAAGAGCAATAACTAAAAATACATCATCAGCCGTCAGATCAAATTAGTACTCAAAAAAATAATTATTTCAAACTAATGGAATATTGTATTAGCCAGATAGATTTCACTGAAAAAAATGGTAAGAGTATATAAAAAGACAAAACGGCAGCAAATAGTGTTCTGAGATGTCCTCACATTAACCCCACCAGAAGTTATAGTATGCCCACAGCGAGGAGAAGGAGCTTGACCAGGAAGCTTCAATTGGGTCCATCCAGGTGATTCATTCTCTTCCTTCCACAATATAGAGAAACAAAAAGCCAATTGATCTTATACACTCCAGATAAGGATCAAGTGATAACACTCAATTAACAAAACAGATAGCGAAAACTAGGACTCAAACAAAAAAAAAATTAACTGCTATCAATTATACACTCCGGAATGACAAAAATTGTGGCTAATTGTACGTCATGAGTTATACAAACTTAATTTTCAATGAGACTTAAGTGCTACCATCTGGACTAGTTTGCTCATTTTTATACCTTATGCATCATGCATCCTAACATCACCATCAGGTATCAAGTACACGATTCTGAAAATAGTGATCTTATGCTGCTATCCCTTGTGGATATTAAATAATAATAACAAACATCACTGGAGCGAAGTTAGTAAATTGGAAGTAAGAACACCATGAAAAGTTAGACGAGCCAGCATGATCACACATGAGACTCTGATAGATATAATAAATACAAAAGATCAAAACAAAAGGATTAAATACCAACCTTCTTCAATTAGACCCTTCAGAGCCCATAAATCACCCATGATTGGACCACCACCACCTACCAAAATTTAAAACATGAAAAGAATCAAAAGCCAGTCTACGATAAGAAAGCAATCAAAGATATTATGCATTTGTACATCTCCAAGATCCAAACATCATAAACAAGAACCATGCATCTGAACTAAACCAAAAAACGTTGGTAACAAAACAACAGGCCATGCGAAAGTAACTAAGCCTTACATATCGTCTTGAATGAGGAGTTGTCCTAGGACAGCAGAGGACAAAACATATTGATATGAGAAGCTACCTGGATAAAACTCTTAACAGTAAAAGAGCCAGCTTTAAAACACATATTTAACTAAAAACCTTGATAACATTGATTCTGCATAACATCATTCGCAAGAAACTGAGGAGCAAAACGTATAAATCTAGTTTATTTTGAAGTCCAAATCCATGATGCCAGCATATTAACCAGAACACATTCAATCTATCTCTTACACCAATCCTGAGAAAGCACTCAGCACCTCATAAGGTTTAACATAGAAACAAGGAAATGCAAGGAGTACAGCCTGCGCTACCTCTGCCACCATAGACAAGTAATCGCTTCTCAACCATGGTAACTGTATGACCACACCGAGGAGGGGGTAATGTTCCAGTGACTGCCAGCTCTGTCCATTCAAGTGATGCTGTTCAAAGAAGAATACCAACGAAACGAGGAAAGCCCACACCAAATCACCAATCTTGACCAAATAAACAAAGCCAAAAGGAATCCCAAACATCAAAGAGACTAGAACATACTCGTATCCAGGACATAGACATCCGACAACCACTTCTTGCCATCCCAACCACCAAACCTACACCCAATAATTCTCACGATAATTGAATAATGAGAACAATGCCCCTTGGTTAGCGAACAATGTAATGAAAAACATACTTACATGACAATTTTCAGGTTTCCAACTGCAGAAGCTGCTGCAAAATCCCTCGGTGAGGGCAAATCACCGAAACTTGCCAGCTCAGACCATTGCCAAGTATCTGGAGAATAGATAAGTTGGATCAATGCCTCTCATTATCACAACAGTACACACCGTAAAATATCATTGCAGTAGATCTTGCAGTTGGCACACGCAAATCCAATTGCAGTTCTATTCCTGGGTTTTCATGTGTAAGGGGATGGAAGTTCATCAAGTACTATATTATACAGCCCTAGTATTTAGTGAAATACCCAGTCAGGAAAATGCTAGTGTGTTCTTACCAGTATCAAGAAGCCAAAAGTCACCCAACCTGAAAAATACAAATTCCTGGTCAGTAAAATTGCACACCCAGCTTGCAACTAATCATTCGAAGTAGTCAAAATTCCAGCTTTCCAAAAACCTTTTGCCACCAGATCTCCCACCAAACACGAACATTAAAGTATCAATGGCGACGGCAACATGAAATGCCCGGGGGCTGGGACCAACTTGCCCATCAGACCCATTTCCACTGCAGTCTGGCGTAAACCACATCTTCTTTTCTGGAAAAAAAATCGAAAGCTCTCCATCTCAGGGCCTCACTCACAACCCGAAATTGCAAAAATTTACAGATTACACCACAAAGTGGCTCCCCCTCAGTGGGGGCTATGAAGTTATGAACATACCAACATCATAAACATAGATGTCACTTAGGAATGTCTTATCTACAAGACCACCAAAGATGACAACCTTAGATTTCCCAGCCATGACGGCCGTATGACCACTGCAGGAATCGATCAAAAACAGGCTGATCAGAAAAACTTCCACGATTCATGACGAAAGAGAGAAAAGGAAGGTGGCTAACCGAAACCTAACCTGCGAGGCTGGGGAAGAGGTCCCGTAAAATCAACAGGAGAAGCTTGAACCCAGTAATGCATGATTTAAAATTTTTCTTTCCGACAGATCGCAGCCTCGCCCTACTGTAGTTCTTTTTGCTAAAGCTCCAGAGTCTAGAGCACTAGTTATTCTGACACTTCAGACCTAAAAGTGATTCCAAAGATCCTGGCTATAATTTGAGTGGAGGGAAGAGACAGAGAGAGGATTTGGGACTGTAGAACGGAGAAGGAGGAGGTAGAGGATTTTTGTAAGGATTTAGGGAGGTTAAAAATTGAGATACCTGCAGGCAGCCACCACGGTTGAGAGAGAGGAAGCGTGCGCCACGACGTTGGTGGGAGTGAGAGAGAGCAAGGTTGTTAAACCCCTATCGAACCCCCGGTTGGACCCGGTTCAATCCGAGTCGGGCTTCAAAACGGCCTCCAGAAAATCCCTCGGTCTGACCCCTAAACAGGGAGAAGAAGAGAGGCAGAAGAGAGAAAAAGGAACGAAGGAAGGGAAATGGTAAGTGGATCATGGAGGTTAGGTAGATTTATTTTGTTGAAAATAAGTTTTTAATAGATATATGTAAGATAAATTTTATTTCACTCATTAAATTTTTAATTACTACTTTATTTGTATATATATTTAGAAAACGTCTAAAACGGCTCAAACCGGCCGGACCCCGATCAGACCATTAAACCTCAAACCCCTTACTTGACCGGCTCAATGACTTAAACCGGTTTGACAACCTTGAGAGAGAGTCAACCAGTCGGTCTGATGGGTTCATAGCTTATCAATAATTAAGGTTAGTCGCAAATCACATATAAAAAAATTGTGTAACATAAATGATGAATGATAAGATAAATTGTAAGGTTGGTCTCTCAAATTACTAAAAAGGTTTACGTTTGGTCATTACACATATTTAATTATATTAGTGGTCACTAAGTTTAATAAAACAAATATATGTTTAGTCACTCTTCATTAGTCGCCGTCCATTTCCTTTAACGAAGCCAGTTATGTGCTGACATGGCAGACAGAATCGTCTAGTAAACCTTATTTAACCGAAAATGGTGAAACCCAACTCATCAGGTCATTAATGCCCGACATGTCATCTTGTCCAACCCAATCTTTTAACTAGACCCATAAAAGACCCCTCTATCAACTTTATATAGCTTTCTGTCAACAAGAATCATTTCCATCTTCCTAAAACGTTCACATTTCCCTCTATTTCCTTCTCATTCAGCAACATCCACTTATCCCCTTCTCATCTACTAGTGGCAACACCCTTATGTCGTTGTGGTGATCCAATAGATCTCAAAATGAGGTAGACTGATGCGAATCAAGGGAGGAGGTTCTACGCGTGAAGCAAGTATGGGATTGATTTCATTCACCTTTGTTTCATTTTTATTTTCACCATTTGACTATCCTTTCCTTTATTCTTCTCTCTGTTTTTGTGTGATGATTTATAGACAAATGAGGCATGTAATTTCTCCAAATGGCATGACCTAGCGCTTGATGGACATATCAATTTTGTGGTGCTGAACTTTTACCGTCGGATTCGGGAGCAAGAGAAGAGGCAAAATGGGAAGGGTCCAAATTTAATTACAAAACAGTGTTCATCTTCAGTGTTATACTTTTTGTATTGTCTTTCATTTTGGATGGGAATGTGAAAAATTGTTTGCTTAATCGTAGTTGTTGTAATCGAAGGTTTCGGTATTGCAGACTGTGTACCCTTACACTCTGTTTCCGAAGGAAGAGAGGAAAATGAAGGGGAAGGAACATTTGAAGGGGAGGGAAAAGGAAGGGAGAGAAAGTTTAAAGTAGAAGGAAAATGTTGTTTTATAGAAGAAAGTGAAGGGTCAAGTGGGAGAGAAAAAATATATTGGAAAGTGTGATAATTATGTTATTTTATGAGTTATGTAATGGTAAATAATTTAATTATTTGTTGATATTATTTTCATTAATAATAATAGTGAATCAAATTTATTCTTTATTTCTAATTTGGTTCACTATAAATTTTCTTGATTTAGCATCTCATTCATTTTAACTCCCATAAAATTTTCTCATAAAATACGTACATGTATTTTACTTCATCTTTAACCTAATGTTACGTTAGATATTACGGTAATAGTCATAAATATATCAAATTAATTATGAAAATCATAAACGGATAAAATACGTACGGGAGCCATCAAATAAACGGAAAAAATGAAATTGCTTGACAATAATACGAATATGAAAGTTTTAAACGAAATATGTACTGATACATATACGTGTATTAAAAACAGTATTTACTAACTATGATTCTCAAAAACATATTAACTCGTTTATCTCACTAAATAAACTCATTGGCTTACTATTTATCTCACTAATTAATATATTCATATTCTTAATTTTAAAAACCCATCATAAACCCCTTACCAAAAAAGAAATGCCACTTGAGTGAATTGTGGAGAAGCCACGCCACTGAATTTGGGAAGGTAAAACAAAAAGAAATTTTGAGAAAGAAAAAATGAAAACCCCAGTTCCCACCCAACTTTCTCTCCGAAATGGAGGATAGCCTCCTACAGTACACTTTCCTTATATTTTCTTTCCTCGGTTACTCTTGTAAAGCTTAAAAAACAAGGGAACACATCTTGGTTCCTGTGCTTTCCCTTCCACTTTTCTTTCCCTCCCACTTTCCATTCTAAAAAAACAGAGTGTTAGAAAATTTGAAGGGTAAATACAATATATTAGCCACAATTATTATGCATCGGGAAATTATAGCCACAACTATCGAAATACTGATTATTAGCCAAAACTACTGTTGCGTTTAAACGGATGGCTAACAGTCTGTTATTGTTTCTATCTTTGTAATGGAAAATGCCATGTCAGCAGCCACATCACCTTCCACCTTAGAATAATTTTTATTTATAATTTTCAAACATTAAAAACCAAAAAAAAAAAATTAACAAAATGCAAGGTCAATTACCCCCGGCCCCTCACCTTCCCGACTTTCTTCCCACCTCCTCTGTCTCGTCGCCGACCCATGCAAATCTCAAGACAAGAACCCTACCAAGTAATCAGCAGCTGCTGCTTCTTTCTTCTCAGCGGCATGGGATGCAGCCGCTACCTTCTTCAGTTTAGTTTTCAGAGCTTTCTTCACCTTTGCGCCCATTTTCTGTGCGATTGAAGAAGAACGACGGATGCGCTTTTCCAATGGAAGAACCCGCCGCCACCACAATTGACCCATCTCAACCTCTTTCTTCCAATCGATCGAAGTTTTGATCCCTTCCGTTAACATGCTACCTGCTTCCCCTGTTCATTGGTACTTTTTTGCTTGCTTCGCTGCTCAATTCTAGGAATTAGGGTTCTTAATCGGGACCAACAAGGGGTTTCTTTGCCGGCTAGATCAGGACGATCTAGGGATTGGGACTGGACGAGCTTGGGAATGGTGGCAATCGAGTGATTGGGACTGGACGAGCTCCTCATCGTCCTGTTTCATGGGTGGAGTCGGGGCGACAACAACGACTAGGTCAGGAGCGGCGATGAGAATGGCGCAATTGAGGGATTGGGGGCAGGCGGCGAATCTACGGGGAGGTCCGTCAACAACAAAGACGTCGTCGGCAACAGGCTAGAAGTCTGGGGAGGGGCGGAGGAAGATTGTTTAGAAGGTGGTTGTCTTGGTGGGTGGCGGAGGAGAGGGGTGGCGAACCGTTGTCGTGGGGATGGCAACTTTGTCCATACCCATGGGTTTCTTACTATCCAACTCAATTGGGTTGGGTATGAAATCCAAATAGATGGATATGGGTAGAGTTTGATGGGTTTGTACCCATACCCATTTACTTTGGGTTGAGTTGGGTTTATATCAAATGGATTGGGATTTGTACTCATGCTCAAATACAAATTACAGTTTGGTACCCAAACTTAATAGATATGCATATTTAGTACCTAAATTTAATTTTTTTTGCATATAAGTCCTCAAAATATCGATTGAAAATTACGTTTTGGTACCTAAATTTTTTTGGTCTTACATTTTGGTACTTAAACTTTTCAAGTTTTACAAATAGGTCCAATTTTTGCATGTGTAGTTAAAACACCCTCAAGTAAATGGATATCCATATCCAACCCATACCCATTTAGATTATGGAAGCCCCAAACCCAAACCCATCTATAAACGCCCAAATCCATATGCACTTCACCCATACCCAACCCATTATCAATGGGTCTACTTGGGTTTGGGTATAGTTACCCATGGGTGGGTAATTTGTCATCCCTAGTCGTGGTGGGTGGCAGAGAAGAGAGCATAATTCTTTTTTTTTTTTCTTTTAACATGTGTCAATTTTTTATTAGGAGGGGTGATTTTCGTGGGAGCCATCTCAGTATAGTAAAGCTTAGTCACCATCATCTAATGGAATTGTTAATCGTGAGTTAATGTTTGACTAATCTATTATATTTCGATAGTTGTGGCTATAATTCCCCATGCATAGTAGTTGTGACTAATATATTGTATTTACCCAAAATTTAATTTTGCATTTTGTAGCTGAAATTGCAGTTCGGCTGCAGGATTGGTCATTTAAAGTGATCTTTAGTTTGATATTTAAAGTGACCTAAAGTTTTGTACCAAAAATCCTAGTCATACTAATTTTTTGTCACTTAAAAAGTATATGAGGACCACATTTGGTCACTTATAAAGCATGTGAGAATCATATTTGGTCACTAAAGATGACAAAACTGCAAGTGTACAGTGTCATACAAGTAATAAAGTGTAAGTAAAAGAGAAATTTTACAATGCTATATAGTATTGGTGCTATAGGTTTTTACTTTTATGGTACAATTTAAAATTGTACATTTACGTTATGGTACAACTTCAGATTGTACCTATACTTTTGGTACAAATTCTTTTATGGTACAACTTGAACTTGTACCTTTATGTGATGACACAACTTCAAGTTGTGAAATTGTACCATAACATAATGGTACAATTTCCTTTATGGTACAACCTAAACTTATACATTTATTGTTATGGTACAACCTAAAATTGTACATTAAAGCACCAATACTATATAGCATAGTAGAAGAGCTCGTAAGTAAAATTATCATTCTCTAGGGGATTGGTAACATTCAATAATTAACAAATTTAGTTCAAGAAACTATAGAAATTGAAAAGGTTGTAATCAAGTGATGATTTGCAAAGATACACAAATTAAGTAACTCAATAAATCAACTATTTTGGAGAATTGATATTGGAGAGTTCCGAGGGAAACACAAGATTTACTATTTTATCTCATTAAATTTAATTATCCTTGTCAATCAATTTAATCCATATTTCTACAGTCGGGATACCTCTATATTGATAGCTATATCTATCGAGAATTACCATGTACTAACCAATTAAGACAATTTCTACTATCGTAGTTAACTGAATTAATTGATTAGCTTTAAGAGCGATATTGCTAAAATGACTGCATAATTCCCTATTTAATCCACTATCACTTCGATGGGCAATTATTTCGTGTGAAATCACTACGGGAAAAATGACCTCTTGCAACTCCCACAAATGTGTTGCGTTATGTATTAAAAGAGTTGCGAAAACCTAACACTTTTGGTAGGGTTGCATATAGTGGGGGTTGCAAAAGGAATAGGCAACTGTTTTTCCATTTTTCGCAACCCAAATATAAAGGGTTGCGTATTCTTACCTCTTACGCAACACCACTTTAGGCAACACATTTCACAATTTTTGCAACACATTTTTGTAAAATGGGCAACAGGTTTTTTAACTTTTGGCAACAGTAATATTTGTATCCGTGACGGGTCTAAACCGTCACGAATAACTAACTCAGTTGTGACAACATTGTTCGTAACAAAAATAAGAACTTGCGTGACAATCTTATTGTTAATAAAAATTCTTTTTGTGACGAGGCAGTCTAGTCCCGAAAACTACTCTTGTGACATGTCTACTTGTCACGAATAGTTACAATTGTGACCATAATGTTGTCACAAATACACATTTTGAAATTCAAGGTAAGATTTAGGGGTTGAGTTGGTTGTCATTAAAGTAACTATTTGTGACGTAATTTACTGTCACGTATATCCCTCATGTGTGACAAATTTCGATCGTCACTCACAATATACTTTTGTGATTATCTAACTTTCACAAAAGAATCAATTTGTGACAATTTTTATTATCACGAAAACACCTTACGTACCACAAAATGATGTCAATTGTGACCAATATTTTGTTCAAAAAGGATATATTTGGTGACAACTTTACTAATCACTCAAAGTAGCATTAGTGATAAATTGACAGCACGAACTTCGCAAATCCCATTCATTGGTGACCAACCTTTCATCGCAAAAGGTTAGCGTTTGTGACAACTTTGCTAGTCACTAATAAAGCAATGGTGATGCATCACTGAGTTATCACGAATGTATTTCTATTTTGACAATAAAATTATCTTTTCAGCCTTCTTTTGTGACAAGAGTTGATGACACGAGTATACCCCAAAAATGACGATAACGTATGTCCTACATGAGTGCATTTTGTGACAAGATTTTAGGACAAATATTGCCAAAGTCATTGATGAATCCTGATAACTTTTCCTTGATCATCGAACCAAATAAAGGTATAGGACTCCGCCCAAACTCAGTTTTCTCGTTAAAAGAACTCCTGTCCCTCCTCCATTCATGATCAGCATCAAGAAACCTACGTGTCCCCATATAACACATCTTATTGCTGTGACTCAACCGCAGAGAGCATGTATCATAATTACAATTTGGACACGCATAGTATCCTTTTGTGCTCCAACCAGACAACATGGCATATCCCGGAAAGTCACTAATGGTCCACATCAAACAAGCACGCATATTAAACATTTTCTTGCTATGAGCATCATAAGTAATTACTCCCTCACTCCATAGCTTCTTCAGTTCATCCACAAAAGGTCCTAAATAGACATCAATATCATTCCCTGGTGATTTTGGCCCTGGGATAATCGAAGACAGCACCAAATACTCTGGTTTCATACACATCCAGGGTGGCAAGTTGTAGATTGCGACTACCACGGGCCATGTGCTAATGATTACTTGTCATAGTCCTCAACGGATTGAAACCATCAGAAGCAATGGCAATCCGAACATTTCTACAATCAGCTGCAAAGTCCGGATGCAAGTCATCAAAATCTTTCCATGCTTGACCATCTGCAGGATGCCTAAGATTCTCATCTTTGATTCGCTTTTCCTCGTGCCATCTCATGTATGTGGCTGCTTTCGAAGACATGAACAACCTTTGGAGTCTTGGTATCAAAGGAAAGTAGCGGAAAATCTTGGCAGCAACTTGTTTCCCGGAAACATTATCATCTTCACCACAATTCCCATCATCCTTGGGGGGAACTTGTATCTAGACTGACCACATTTTCTGCAACTCTTCAGCTTACTATCATCATCACCATAATATAGCATACAATCTTTTGGACAAACATCAATCCTCTTGTTAGTTCAACCCTAAACCCTTAATCATTATTTTCATTTTAAGAAATGATTTGGGAATCTCAGCATCAGGAAAAGCCTCGGTCAGCAAAGAAAGTAGAGAATCAAAAGAGGAGTTACTCCATTCATTGAGGCACTTTAGGAGATATATTCGAATGGTGAATGATAGCTTCAAAAACTTTTCACTGCCCGGATACAATTCTTTATCAGCATCTTCTAATAGAGTGAAAAAGTGTTTCGTCTGTCCATCAGGCTCTCCACCGACACTAGTTGCAAGGTCACTTAATAGACCATACATATCATCATCTTCTACCATATCATCATTGTCACTATCTTCAACTTCCTTCTCTCCGTGGAAAGTCCAAATAGAGTACTTCTTCACAAATCCATGACAAATCAGGTGTTCATTGACGACATTTCTGGTTTGCCAAAACATATTCTTGCACTTCACACAGGGACACGAAATCTCATTTCCCTCGGCCGATTTAGCAAATGCAAAGTTCAGAAAACTCTCTACCCCATTACGATAGGCGGTACTCACTCGTGCTTTCGACAACCAACTTTTGTCCATTTCCAAGAATAAACTGCAAAATGAATGACCTGAATTAGTAAATATATACATTAAGGCCAGGAAAATATAAGTACAAAGAGGAAAGCTGGAATTTCAGTAGAAAATCAATATAAAATTACCAGTGAACAAAATCAAAAGCAACATTCTTTACAATTAAGCTTTGTGTGGTTTTATATGTGGTACTGAGACTGGATGATAGCCTAGCTTGAATTACTAGCCTTGAATTAATTCCCAGCAATGCTATAAACCAGAGGTACACATACCCGATTCTGCCAGCTGCATTGCTTATTTGATTGAAACAACAAATGCACAAGTTATCGATCTTTCAACTGATGCAACAAAAAGATTAAACTAGCACATGTTTGCTTGATCATACAACATATATAGTCAAAAGTTAATCTGCAATTCTGGGCATTTCTATAAACTTGGCACGTGAAGCATATGGAAAATGCAGGAGCTCTAATCAATAAAAGATAATTGTTGGGATAATTGTTATGATCTGCAATTGTTGGGATAATTGTTATCCTCTGCTGCTACAGTTTTGTTACTACTCATTAATTACAAGTTCATCTAATCTTGCCATGCTTTTGCCGACTTAGAGAGCTGCTACATACCATATCTCTTCTT